CAAACATCATCCCCATCATTTATCTATATTACCTGAACTAAATTGCTTAAGGTTTTCTCAACTTGTGAAACATAAATCCTTTTTTAAAATATAATTTTATATCACAGTGAAACATAAGACTTAGGAATGGAGGGAAATGACAAAGAAATACATTTTTAAAACAGGATGTAAATAAAATGTCCTGAGCACATGCCAAATAATTTACTTTTTCTAATTTAAAGTGCTAGTAATAACTCATTAAACTGTAGATTTTTAAACTGTTTTCATGTATATTTTTCCTGTTAGTCATAACACAGTAAAGTATTAAAAGTTCTATTTTACTGATGCTTAACTAAATCAACTCGTTTAAGTTTACACGGCTAGTAAGGGCAGAGCTAGTCCCTTTACTACAAGTTTAATGCTTTGTACATGAAACAGAGAACTTAAACAATGAAAATAAAACAGAAGAAAAACTAAAGTAAAATATACTTTGTACAGGCCAAAGGAGGGCCGAAGTTTTAAAGAGGAACTACAATATATTTACAGAATATGTTTTCCAGGATTTATGGACACTCAAGGACTCATTTTAACTGCCCTTAGCTTCTATCATTTGAACCACATGATTAAGTACTATTTCATATGTTTGTTGTCTTGCACTGTTCTCTCTCTAAATGCCATGGTATCCACGGCACCTGCTCCATGTCCCCCAGTTCAGACCTAGACTATTAGAATAGACTCCTAATGCAAAGTCTCGTTGATTCTCATTACAATCCTCCAAATATATCCTTCCCAAAATACAAATCTCATTCTCTTCTATGCTTAAATGGCTCCAGCTACCCTATGCCCCAGACACATCAAACTCCTCTCATGTCCCTGAATTTGATATTGCTTCATATCTCCATTCCTTGGCTCAGGCTGTCTTAAAACTCAGTTTAAGTGTTACTTCTCCGACCTCCCATATGAACCGCCCCGTAGGGCTTCCAAGGAGCAACTGGTGGATTTGAACTGTCGACCTTCTGGTTAGCAGCCAAATGCTTAACCACTTCGCCACCAGGGCTCCAGCATTCTGTCTATAGATCTATCATAATGCTTGTTACACTGGAGTGGGGTACATTTCTCCCTCTCCATCATGAGTGATCACCTGAGGGCAGGGGCCATGTCATTTACTTTTTGTCCACAATACTTGGCACATAGTGGGTACTCACTGTCTGCTAATTTCAGTTTTCATGTTAGATTTTAAGTATGGAACCTATAGGAGATGGAATCTGGTTACTCATATTATCAGTATTTAAAAAAATATGTATCCAACTAAAAATATATTTTATTAATTCGTCCAAACTTTCAATAAACAAACATCTATGGAGTACCTACTCTGTGTCAGGCACTGTGAATACAAAGAAGATTAAGGAGCCTGGGGTGGGAGGAGTCACATGTAAACAGTTCTAAAAAGAGAGAAAGGAGAGGAGTTCTATGACAGAAACATTTACGCCAAAAACTAAAGTAACCAAGAGCAAAGAGTGACCGGCCTTCTTCTAAAAACCTTTTGTCCTTTTATCATCATCACCTGGATGAAATATGCTACATTCATTTATGCAGTTTTATTTTTCTTTTAATGTGATATAAAAGCCTTCATAATTATAAAACCTCTGGATGCTGCATGAGTGGAAAGATGCCAGCCTGACTGGCTCCCAGCTGTGGTGGATCAGCTGACCTGAGTCGCAGAAGGATGCTGTGAGCCAGCTGAGGTGTTCTCAGGAGAAGGGAGCAGGGTGCTACAGACTACCTCTTTCTCCTTAAACCAGGTGCTTAAGAAGGTTCAGGATTCAAAAAAGGAAGTGACTACTTAACCTTGAGGCTTTCTCATGGCCATTAGTAGGCTCTTCATTTCGCTTTGAATCACTGGGGCCTGCAAAGTCACTCCAAACCAGCTGTGGTTGAGTTGATTCTGACTCATGGCGATGCCACATGTGTCAGAGTAGAACTGTGCTCCACAGGGTTTTCAATGGCTGATTTTTCAGAAGTAGATTGCCAGGCCTTTCTCCCAAGATGCCTCTGGGTGAACTCAAACGTTTCAACCTTTTGGTTAACAGCCGAGTTTGTTAACCATTTGCACCACCCAGGGACTTTGAAATCACTCAAGGTGACTGGACTAGTTGTTCTGGATTCAGTCTGGTGAAGGCTGTGGTAGTTGTGGTCCATTAGTCCTTTGGACTAATCTTTCCCGTGTGTCTTTGGCTTTATTCATTCTCCCTTGCTCCCGAAGGGGTGAGACCAGTGGAGTATCTTAGACGGCTGCTCGCAGGATTTTAAGACCCCAGACGCTACTCACCACAGTTGGACGTAGAACATTTTCTTTATAAACTATGTTATGGCAATTGAGTTAGATGTCCTGCGAGTCTCCTGCTCTTCTCGTCTATCTAATGAACTTCTTTTCCTTCAAGACTGAGGCCAGTTGTCATCTCCTTCTCTCGGCTGTCCCCTCCACCCTAGCCTCCAGACGAACTGACCAATTCTCTTAATTTGAAACCACATTGTATTTTCCTTGATCATACTACTATCATTGCCTTTACTGACTTGAAATTACTTTCTTTCCCCATCTATCAATACTGTGAATCCTGAAGGATAATGACCATGGTTTATTTATTTTTGTAATTCTGGCAGTTAGTACAAGGCTCAGTATGTAGGAGACACAAGTTTTAAAAAATGTTTAATAAATAAAGAATAAGAAAAAAAAGCTAGGGGTTGGTAGAAATGATATTGAAT